AGAATAAAATTCGAAATGAATTAAAAGATACAAAATTACAATTACAATAATATACAAGTTTTATTCACACGCTTCGCATTATTTGATGATTTTATTTTTAATAAAATACATTTAGACTCACTATATTCAGTTCGTTGTAATGAGAGATTTGATCTTTTATTAATGAAATTAGTGTTGTTGATGTAATCAATAGTTCTTCAGAGTCACTAGAATCTATAAAATAACGTAATTTGCACATGATGTATGAGAATGAAAATGATGTAGTGAGGGCATGCCAAAAGTAATGAGAGAGATACTCTTTTTCCTTAACCAGGGATATAAAAAATTTCTTTTTTTTACCAATAGATAGAGCGTGTTTCACTCTATCTTTCTATGCTCTTTGATCACTATTTAACTAGTAACTTAATAATAAAACTTCGATCAGAACTTTTTTTGTGTCACTCCAGCTGATAGCAATAATGTATATAATCATTCATGCGTGTTTTCTTTGTGTTTTTTTCTTATCATCTAATAGGTTTTATTGAAAAACTCTAGAATTTACACACAACAAATTTATATAGTCACACTTTTTGTTCTCAAATTGGACAAAACTTTGAGCGATCAAGTTATGACCGGGCGAAAATTGGTAGCAGAGTGCTTTGCTTTTTTTTAAAAACAATTATAATAAGCTTTATTATAAAAATTGTAAAACTTTTTACGATGCATGCTGTGAGATCTCTCGCCTTTAACAAAACGTATCAGATCGTAAAAAGATGAAAGAAGAAAGAAAAACTTTCTCTTTTTTTGTAGAAAAATGGTTTTTTGTAACAGTGACAACTGGTTGCACAGAATTTTGCTTTTTCTCAAAACAGAAAGTAGACAAATAAACTAAACTGTTTTTTTGTAACTTGCAGAGCTTTTTGCGCTGCATCTTCTTGCGTATTTCACTTTTTAATAAAACCATTTAGATGATGAAAACACGCGTGAATGATTATATACACTATTCCTACCAGCTGGAGTGACACAAAAAAGGTTCTGATCGAAGTTTTATTATTAAGCTACTAGTCGAATAGTGATCAAAGAGCATAGAAAGGTAGAGTGAAACACGCTCTATCTATTGGTAAAAAAAAGAAATTTTTTTATATCCCTGGTTAAGAAAAAAGAATACCTCTCTCATTACTTTTGGTATGTCCTAAGTAGTATCTTGTATATAAAAGTCTTCTAATATAGATAATTTTATTGCTCATTTACACTCATACGAGAAAATAACTCTATTGGAATAGGCGTGTCATTCATCATACCAAAATCATGAGTACTCGAGCAATAGGTAATCGCATAGTACTTCTTTCATTTTCACGATATTTATTTTTCTTTAATTTAATCAAATAAAATAAATCATGATCTTTTACTGAAGAATAAGTTTCACACCATATGCCATTAAATTTGTTTTGACAAAGAGAAGAATGATCAAATGAATAGACGACTAATGAAAAAAAAATGTTAGACAGTAAGAACAATGCCATCATCCATCCGTCCGTCATAGTGTGATATTATTACCTCAATATTCATTCGTCATTATTCTCACAAAGACTATGAGAAAATTTTGTCATATATATCAATTGACATGAATGAACAAAATAGCGACATAAACATGAATATTTCGAATAACAATAATTTAAATATATTCGATTTGCCCGATGAAATATTATTTATTATTGTCAAGAAATTGAATATTAGTGATGTGATTTATTCACTTATGGATATTAATGAACGATTTGTTCAATTACTATTTGATCCTTTTTATATTCAAAATCTTAATATTACACTTATGACTATGAAGTCATTTTATCAACGTACATTTTCCTTACATGAACAAGTTCTTTCAAATATTTGTGAAAACATTTTACCAAAAATTCATGATCAAGTTAAACAACTTGTTATTGAACAACATTCAATGAAGCGTATTCTTACTCACAATTATTCTCAACTTTATTCATTGTCACTTGTTAATTTTAAAGAAGAAATACTCTTTCGATATCTAGCAGGTAGATTTTATTTTTAATATTTTCATTAATGAAATGAATTTGTATTTTAAGATTATACAACTCTTCCTACTCTTCTTATACGACAAATCACACATATAAATATTGATATTCAGAGTGATGAAATACCAAAATTATTTTCTGAATTTTCTTCAGATATATTTCTATTGATTTTGTCTCTATGTCGACGATTAATCAAGTTGAATTTTTGTCAAGTATTTTCGTATCGAAACTCATTTATTTCGATTTATAATTTACCCAAAACAAGTTGTACATGTTCAACTTTAATCGAATTAAAAATAAATGTTGCATCGTTTAATGATTGTCTTTATCTTCTTGATGGACGTTTTGATTCCTTATCAAAACTAACTATCAATGTGAGAAATATCGAATATGAACGAAAAGAAATAAACAACAAGGTAAATTTGAAATATTGTTTTGAGAAAAATGATTAAATGAATTAAATGATTTTCTTTCTAGACAAAACTTCCCAAGTTGAAATACTTCTCATTAACTTCATTTAGTTTTATACATCACTTTGATGAATATATTATTCCATTACTTCGTCGAATGATAAATCTTGAAGAATTATTATTATTTCTATCAGTAATAAGGACTGATTCAACTTTTATTGATGGTACTGAATTATATGATGAAGTACTTGTACACATGTCACAACTAAACAAATTTATTTTCAGTGTAAATACTAGTGTTTTTATTGAAAACAATGAAATGGATGTACCATTAAGTGAAGATATTCAAAATAGTTTCATTGGAAGAGAATATGGTCAAGTTAGTTCATGTGTGCATTTTGAACCAAGAACGCCAAAAGATACAAGCATCGATTTTGTAGAAGCAAAGGCTGTGATCAAATCCCATATATACTCACTTCCATATCAATTCGAAAGTTTTCTTCATCTCAACAATTCTTTTCAAGGTGGCATGTTTGTTAATGTTCGATACTTAACAATGACTGATTCATTTCCTTTTGAACATGAATTCTTCAAAACTATTTCTGATTGTTTTCCTTTTCTAAAAAGCTTGACGATATCCAATTTGAAACCACAAAAAAACAAGCAACATTCTTCGACATTAATTAGTTTTCCTCATCTTAATATTCTAAATCTTGTTAACGCACATGATGATTATGCTGAACAATTTCTGGTCGATACGAACACTCATTTACCTTGTTTGTTGGATCTCTGCATCACATATGAATCACTCGAAATTATAACAAACAACTTTACTAATGATGCAACACGGCCTTATTGTTCTAAACTAAAAGGACTTCATATGCATAAGCCATTTGTTCGACCAAAACATTTTGATGAGTATTTTTGTTTATTATTGCACATGTCAAAATTTCGTGATGAATTTTAATGAAAGAAAAATAAATATTCATGTCTCAAAATTATTCAATGACATTGTAAATTATGATATTGTTATCTCAAATAAAAGTTTTTTCTTAAAGATCTGAGCAATTTTACATATATTATTTTATAGAATCATGATTGAATAAAAATAAAAAAAGTTATATTCAAACTTTAAGTAATATTTTTCATTATTGTAATCAAACTTCAAACTGTTTGATAATATACGAATAAGAATATCTTTTTTTTTCTCTTTTCTTATTTGTTTATATACGTAATTAAAAGCCGACATGTATTCTCTAGTCAATTTTGACTAGTAAAACAATGAAATATAGTGCTAAAATCCATCTTTCTTTTCTTTATTATTCAAATATTCTGTGTTTGCTGATATACACAAGTAACGTCCGTCGTCTCGACTAACTTGACTCTCGACTGTAGGAAACTGTAGAAAACAAAACTATCGTCCACAGATGCTCATAATGACAGAAGCACCTCAACAATTCTACCTTTCAATAACGAGTCATAAAGAAAATTAGATGAAGTTTATTAATGGATATTAACAAAAATTACAAACGTTTTGTGTTATAGAAAGTTTGAAAATAGAACAAGTTTCTTTGATACAAATATTAGAAAAAATTTTCTTACTAAAAAGATTACTCTTACTCAGCAAAAAATATCCTTAACTTATAACACTACACAAATTAATATAAGTATAGGATACATATCTCTTGAGATTATAAATATTTACATCTGCAATGAATACAAGAACAAGTAAAGATGAAAGATATTTCTACAATAACGAAAACCGCATGCAACGTGCTAGAAATAATTATCAAGTAGTATAGTCAAGATTTTCATTACTCTGGGTATTATTATGATAAATGGACTGATGTTGAATAAAAATAGAAAGCAATTGAAATAGAACACTGAACGATGCACTACTAAATCTAATAATCTGAATGAAACTAAAAGAAAAGAATATAGATTAACTTCCACTGTTAAATAATTTGAATTTATCGTATTTAAATTCAGAAATGTTCAACACATCTTTACATATCAGATTTTACTCTTTTGACAGCTCGACTCGTCCTGTGTAGACGTTTTATTGAATAAGTATATATTATATAATTTATCCTGTACATAAATTTTTTGAATGGATATATAGTGTAATACTTCACTCTTTTGACAACTCGACTTATCTCATGTATACAAGCAATATCTTAATTTATATTCTATGTTAATATCGTGTAAGAGCGCCATCTAATGTGACTAATAGCAGGTGCTTTTAATACGTTAAATGTATATCAATACATTAACCAATCAGAATGCACGATGTCTTCGACTTCAACTTCGGTCGATTATCATTACCCTTTAATAAAGTATAACATTTCACGTATATGACAGGTCTGCTCGTTTTCTTTTGCAACTCTATTTATTTGAATAAATACTCATTATTATTTAATAGATAAAGTATTTTGTTTGTTTATAAATAAGAAATTCGTTATTTTTTTTGTTTAGTGAATGTAATCCTCATATTTGGTAGCAAAGTAAAAAAATGTTTGAATAAAGTGATAAACGACCTGTTATTTATAATAATAAATGTGAACAAATGTGTGGTGTAAGTAGATATTTAAAATCTATTTTTATTTAAATCTAATTTTTGTTAGTTTATTTTTAGTGTTGTGCAAAAGAGGTTTGTTTTTCATTGATTCAAATGTAACTATTTTTGTTTCTATAAATAGATTGATGCAATTGAATGTTATGAAAAATTATATAATACTTATAAAGAACGTGTGGAATATGAATATACACATGTTAGAGCAGAAAAATGTGGATTAGTATTTATAACACTTTCAACACCTGCAGAAGCATATAAGTAGATTTTATTTAGTTTATCTTTTCGATCAAATGAAATAATAATCAATTCTATTATGTAGAGTTCATTCCAGTTTTCAACTAATATATTTTGTACTTGATCGTCGACCAAAACCACCTATAAGTAATTCAATTGGTATTTACGAATGGAATGTTAGTTTTGCACCAAGTCCGAAAAATATTATTTGGTAAAAGCTCTCTTTTTTTAGAAAATAAAGTTATTTTTATATAAATACTTTTTATAGAAAAAATATTCCAATGAATGAAATTAGTTATTGGTTTCGAATAATTATGTAAACATTCTATGTTCATTTCATATAGAAAGGTAATCAGGTTTTAAATATAAATATTATTTATTGCAATATGGATAAATAAGAAGATTGTTCATTTTTTTTGTAGAGTTAGCGAATTGATCTCATTCTAACATATATGTACTAGAGGAAAATTAGGTTTTATTTAATAATGTACTATAAAGAGCATATGAAACAAATTAATTGATTTATATTGAGTAACTGGGTGTGGGTGGGTGTGGGCGTGGCTATTGTTCTTATTCATTAGACACACCCACACCCTCAAAAATAATTTTATTAATCAAAAAAAAATAATTTTTAATTAAAGTTATTCATCAAAAGATGCTGTATGTTCGTTGGCATAGAATCCAATTGAATCAAATCGATTTACATGCTCGACAACGGCTGTAAGTTTAATTTATTTATGTAAAAGAATATCAATTAAAAAGTTGTTTTTTATTTTTTATTTTAGGGTGAATATGCACATGTGGATATATCGGAATACCTAGCAAAACCAACATCAACACCATCAGACAAAGTATATATATATTTTTTTATTTTTGAAACTAATTAATTACAAATTTTATTAGGATGAAGCTGAAATGGAAGAAAAAACATCGGACAACATCGACGACGGTAAAAAAATTATGTTCATATTAAAAAATTATTTGTTTTATTTAAGATTCTGAATCTATTTCCAATGATGCTGATCCAACAATAACAACTGATGATAAAGAATTAATTCCAAAATGGTTTGAACGTGCATCATCAATGATAGTTGAAACAAAACCAGTTGAACTACAAGAATCATTTCAATCAACATCAAAATATCTTGAAAGTCGATTTTTACTTTGGAATAATA